GATCTGCTTGAACATTACTCCTTTCATGTCACGTCGTCCTTTTTGTTCGAAAGAAAAGAGCATCGCGTGAAAAAAAAGCGGGACACAATCCTGTTTGGCAACAAAAAATGTATGAGTGTGTGTGTGTAAACAAAGTCTAATTCGCTTTTCTCGCTGAATACACATCAATTAATGTGGCAAAGTGAGCAGCAGCAAAACGTTGAGAAAATAAGAATGCAATGGATGCCATTGCCATTGCGACGCGACACATCAATTGCGGTAGAAAAAGCGTAATCGAAAGGCAAACATATAAATTACGAGCGCCAAACAAAAATCGCTTGCCAAAGCAACGGTGAAAATGTGCTATCCTCTGCACATCCCATACACATATCACACTGCGTATGCCACATCAAATCACTTAATTTTGCTGTGTCACGAAATGGAAATCTCGCCACTTCGAAAATTTAGCTGCTTTTTTTCTCTCGGCTCTTCCGTTCTGCGTTCTATCTCTCTCGTTCTCTATACGTTTCTCGCTGTGATGTTCGCATTTTTGTTTGCATTTGGGTCGCATCTATTAACCAATTATTGTTATCACACGTTGCTTTCAACTGAAACCATTGTGATTAAATAGAAGAAATGTTTTCTTTCCACAGATGCATGCACATTTTGTTTACTCTTTTTTTTCTCTGTTCAGCCGTTTCGTTGCATACATCATAAAACCATTCAAATTCAATTCATTTTAATGTGCTCAAATCACGACACATACAACAAAAACAGCAGCAGCAGCAGCCGCAACAGCAACAGAAACAACTAAAATTCGATAAATGCTTTCTAAATGGATTTAACGAATTGGATGATCGGCACGGCACACGTATGCCGTTCACGTGACCTTAGCAAAACATTACACCAGCTAATCTCTGTGTGGCGGCGTTCAAATGAAAAGCGCAGCTAACCAAACAAAACACCAATTTTTTCTGCTTTTGTACGAGTTGAAGTGGATGAATAAAGCTGTTAATGGGTAATATTTTGATGCGTGGGGTGGTTTTGGCAAACTTACCTTTCCTTGGAAAAAATCTATGCGAAAAATATTTGCGCGCTGTTCAACTCATTCCAAAATTTATTTAAATGATTTTACGTGGCTTTGACTGTGCACGTGTTCTCACTTTATAAATACACCCGAACCGGGATTTGAATGTTAATTTTGGTGTATGTCAACGAACGTTAACGCGGTACCACTGGTAATTTTTGCGTTAAATTGAAAATTTCTTGAACTCTCTTGCTTCACCTTTCTCTCTCTCTCTCTCTCTCTCTCTCTCTCTCATTTAAGCATTCGTCAATTTGCAGGCAGCGTAAAAATAGAAAAATAAACAGATTCGCTTACGGAGAGAGGAGGTACCACCGTATTTGTCGCCATTTAAAATGGAATCATTTGAAATTTATGCTGGCACTTGATTTGTGCCTACAGCATCAATTTGTGTGCACTTGGTGTGAGTTAATTGAGAGCGCAAACACGTTTCGCTTTTCTTCGAATTCGTGTCATTTCGAATTTGTCATCGTGTTCTTTTTTCGATCTCATCATTGGATAAAAGAGTGTATTTCTTTTGAAGTGAAATTGAGAAATCATCAATCAATTTGTTTGGGTGATATTTTTTTATTTGAGGTCTTCCAATTGAATCAATTTAACCTAATGGATGCAAGTATTGTTATCACTGTTGGTGCTTTTGTTGGAAATCGTAAAAAATTTATCATATGTCATGGAAAAGATGTCATAATCTCGCCCCTTTCTCTCTTGTTCCCTTTTTAAATTGGATACAACAAGGAAAATGTGTCAGCAGTAATCGTATTTCTTTCAAATAGGAGCATCATTCGTATTTGTATTTAATATTCAATAGAAAAGCGATTGATACGAACAAATCCTTCAAAAGGAGAATTTCTTTGAAGAAAAAAAAATCGAAAATCGAAGAAAAAACATCAACAAAACTTTCTTCTGCTTCCAAAGCGAGGAAGGGGAAAAGGAACGAGTTCAATCAAAGTGATGTTTTGTAATCATGATTTTTGATTTTTCGTCAATATTTGTAACGTTCGTCCATTTGTATTTGTTTTAACGAAATATCACGAACTTGAAAAGCCAGATTTGCCAACATGGCGTGCTACTGAACCGTGATTGCATTCGATGATGGCACTTAGCGTGGGTCGTCGTAGATGCCTATAGCTCATCGTTCGGCCCTCGAAATCAGCGTTTCACGAAAATGCGTGTATGCGCCATCCCGAATGTGTATGTGTGTGTGGAAAACCAAACCGACCGAAAAAGGATTGAATGTTTACTAAATGTAAACAGCAAAGCTTTCGGTGTGATTATGACATTTTCAAACACAAACAATGGATTCGACAACGAATGAACGGATGGAATTGATAGGAGGCAGAAATTTATATCATCCATTTGGAATGCCGGGCTGATGTGTTTGTCAAATGTATAAATTATAAATAAAATACATATTTATTTGGGCACAAAAGCTTATCCTCATTTCCAGAGGCCATGTTTAAAGTACAACCGGGCGAACGAGCAAATGAGATACGATTCCAACACAGAGTTCAATCAATGTTGCCCTTTCATCCCAAGGCAAGCGATTTTCGAGTGCAATCTCATTCGAAATGTTAACAAGTTCGTTTTTAAGTTGATTAAAATCAAATCAGCAAAGGGATTGTGATTTGTGTTTATCTTTTTACTTCTCCATCGTCAAAGTGTACATCCAAAGAGCAAATCACATCTAAAACGGGGAACGCATAAAAGAAAACCAAAATTCGATTTTGATGTATATTTGATTTTTCCATTTTATTTCAAATTCATAATTTAAATATATCCTTTGATTTTTCTCTTATGGATTTTATTTTCTTTTTTTCTTTTCTCACTATAGATTAATATTGATTATTTGTCGTCATTGTTAATGTATCAATGCGGTTTTATACTAAAGAACAATCAGCTGAATATATTTGTTGCTGTTTCCATCATGTTATTCTGATTATTTTCATTTTGACAAAGCGACGTGCCTATTTTTGTTGTTGTTGTTGTTTGTGCATATATTGGATTCAAAGTGGAATTTTTGTTTTTTTTTCCTTAAAATGTTTTGTTTTAAATTGGCTAATGCATAAATAAGTATTGAGTGTTTTTTTATATTTCAAATAACAGCGTCTTATTAATTTGTTCTGTTGTGATTAGATTTTGAATGGTTTGCCTAAAAATTTTTCGCTTCCAAATGGTTTGGTACGAACTGAATAATCTATTGAAAATTGGGTTTCAATTAATTTCCGATTATTGAAAATGTGTTGTCATTTTTCCAAATTCATTGCTGATTTCTATTCCGAATCAAGATTTCATCTTGAAAATCATCAATTTCCTCTATTTAACTTGATTGAATTACTAATTTTCAATTCATCAAAATACAATACGATTTTAATTTATGCTCGCTCAATTATTCCCTTTTTATTTCCAATTTATTTATATGAAATTAAACTCTTTAACGTTCATAATTTTTTTTTTTTTGAAAATAAAAATTGTCTCATTTGGATGGATGCAATCATTTCATATCGGTTTGGATTTTGATTTTTTTTTTTCACTTTTCTCAATATAACGAAGACCAACTAATCAAAACCTAAAGACGATTTTAAAATCTAAAAACTTCGTACAAATGGCGACACATAAAAAAGGCATACACATTAAACAAACGTTTAGCAAATATCCAGTACATACATGAGTATTTCAATGGGGGAAGAAACAAAAACAACTATTACTTCATTATCAAAAGATTCGGTGCGGAAAGTTGGAAAGGAACGAGGAAAGCGAAATTGACGAGAATTTGAATTGAAATTTAGGATTAGGGCAAATGGAATACGATATAGCAATATGGGTACTTGAAGGAATTTTTCAAAATTGTTCATTGGACTTTTCTTTACTAAGAGTCTTTAGATTAGTTTTGAAATCCTAGGATAAAAAAAAACAGATTTTTAGAACACATTTCGGCGACCATTTCACAAAAGTTCACATAAATCACAAAAATTGATGATGGCTTTTTCTTTCATTTGCCTTTGTTTACTTTTTTCCATTCCCTTTTTTTATTTTATTTTTTTATTTTTTGCTTCATTTTAATTTTTAGTTGCCGTGAACATGTTTTTAAAAATTCAGAAATATTTCTAATTTTGCCATTTTTCTTTGAATTAAAAAAAAATGCAACAAAGATGTCTAGAATAAAAAATCTTCATTTATTTCGAAAAAAGCAATCAACTTTGTGAAATGTGCCGTTGAAATTCGATGAAATTTTTCCCCTCTAAATTTTCCTTCAAATCGGAATCTTTTGCAAATCGTTTCGAACATAACTCGTCATAGTAAGAGTTATTTTAGTTGTATCTATCGCAATTTATGTTTCTTTTAATCTATAGCAAAAAACGTTTAATGCACACAAAACCTTAACTGTTTCCGTTGTTTGTTAGGAAAGAAAAGTGATCATGTACAATATTTGAATTTATTTTCCAGAAATTGGTTGAATTTCTGTTCATGGTTTTAGTTTTTGTCCTCTGCACACGTGTGCTTGTGTGTGTTTGCAAGAGAATCCTTGTCCATTCAAAATTGCCAATCATTCAAGTTCTTTGAAAATAATCGATCTTGCGTATATAATCATTTTCTGCGTATTTCTATCGAAAAACGTACCACTATTCGTACAGGCTAATCATCATAATACTAATAATAAAATAGACACTTTTTACACTTGACACATATGAAAGTGGGTTGAATCGTATTCAATTGCAAATTAGGAAAAAACGTTGACATTATTCGTTTAATTTGGCCAACACCGTTTCCGTTCATTGGCCTTACAATTGTAGACTCTAAATTAATCGTGAGTTGTAAAAAAATTAATAGGAGTTCTTTCGTCTAAGTTTCCGCTTATCTCTCAACCGAATGCATAGGATCTTCCCACGTTTCGTGTCACCACAAATAAAAAAAAAGAAACAGATAAAAAATCACAGAGTTCAAAATTATACGTTCAATTGTGTGTGTCAATCGCATAAAAACAGTTCAAATGCGTGCACAATTTATTTGATTCACCTCATCTCATGTGTGTATGTGTGTTTGTATAAATTTTCCATCGAACTTAAGTTTGGTTTTGTAAATAAAACAAACAAATAAACAAAAATAAAATACAATGAAAATTGTCCATACAATGTATCATTAACGCTCGTTTAAGATTTGGTTTTGTGCCAGCTACAATTTGCTGCAGTAATTATCTACTATAATTACATTTTGTTTCAAAATAACTTTTTCTTCTTCTTTTTTTTCTTCGAATCGAATGTGTGTGAGATTTCTAAATTTTATCAACAGCTGGAACTCGGAAAACGCACATCAAATTGATTTCTTTTTGTTTTGTTAATTTTTTTTTCTTCAAATATTTTCTTCTCATTTATTGTTGAATAATTTGTTGCATTGTCTCTCATGCACCGCATAAAATGGATGTCAAAATGGGATTGACCAGAGTCGCAGTGGCTGCAAATTTCATGCTGAATGCTACTATCTTGGATTGATCACTCTCAATACGGTGCCAGACATCTTTTTTACCTCATTGTGATTGCCCAGTGATGCAGTTCCATCACTTGCGATGTACAATTGCAGTCCGCCGCCGCCTAAAATTGAAGGAACATTGTTTAAGTCCATTGTTCATTTTAAGGTCAAGGAATAAAAAGCTGTTTCAAAAGCGCTCTCACCTTCTCCAACTTGATCTAATTTGGTATTTTTCAGCAGTTCGTCAATCAATGAATCTGGATTGACTCGTGTGCCTTCGACACGTCCCGACACTGTAGTCACACTATCGTCTAAACCTTTCTTCCTTCTTTCCGCCGCTGCTTTCATACGGTCCAGCGAACCAGTCTCACTGACAAGTGAACCTGCACTCGGATTTCTACTTTTACCCAAAAAGAAACAAACACAATTCAATTAGTTATATTTTATCTAAACGATTCCATCAATGATGGAATCAATCAAGCATCTGTTGGATCTCTACTGAACAAAATATCGTTTGATCTATGAAACAACATAAAAATCAATTCAATTTAATTGATAATCATCAATTATAATTGAAATTGAAAACGAAAAAAATTGAAAAACCAACAACAACAACAAAAACATTTACGACTTTTCAATTATTTGAAGAAAGAAACATGAATTATATCTCTAAGATGCATGCAAACATAACAACAAAGAAGAAGAAGAAAAAACTTAAATACCAAACTGAACTGGAATTAGTAAAGCGAATCGAAGTGTTAACTGAAATTATCACATTACAACATAACATCGAATTCATGCAGTTTTTTTCAGATGTTATTGCAATCAATTTGCTTTTTACTATCGTGAGTTTAAGACCAAAAAAGTACGTGTTACGCGTGTATATAAAAATTCAATTGATAAAAAACAGCTATTTTCCCTTTTCATTGCGTTCATAAGCGCTTAATAGCTGATTGATAAATGAAAACGGCACAATTATGAGGTAAAAGTGGTTTGGATGAATAACACATAAATAACTACAAAAACGAATTATATATTTTCAATCATAACATGAACAAAGAAAAAAAAACAGAAAAATCGACGTGTTATGTGTTTGCACATAATAATTTGATCGGACGTTTATTTCATACATCAAAAGCCAAAACTGTTCGCTGCCAAACAAGAATCCAGCAACAAAATCTTTCGAAAGTCATGTTTTCTCTCTCGAATTCTTTGACAGCAAATGTGCGATACAATGTGTGCACAAGACTGAAAATACATTTCAAGGCTGATCCAATTTGTAAGTGTCCTCCTCCTTCAACATTGTTACTTGAATTGACCTTCATTCGAAGGTTTCAAATTCCATGTCGACAAAATTAAGGAGAAACGTCATTTTTTTCTGGATGTTATAATCCATGAATATTCTATTCATATTCCATATGAATGGCTCAATATTGAGTCTTTGGCGTTGGAAGGCTTTGGAAAGGAAATTTTTAGCAAAAACTAGAAAAGTGTTGATGTCCATCAGGATGCTGGTAACAGCTTGACCATGTTTGGTTAAAGCCAATTTCAACCCAAGTTGGTTTGCTTTGAAAAATAAAAAACCCTTGATGAACGAAATTCATTCGAAGGAAAATAACACATAACATCATCCATCAGTAAACGTATCGAAAGAATATTAGCCAATTATTGTGAAAAATTAAATGAAAACTCTCTAAGCGAGCAATCAAAACGAATCTATTGGAAATCATGCAACAAATTGGGAAAATTCCATAGTAAAAAAAAAGAACCGTTGAAAAGAAAAGTGTTTGTTAAAAAAAGAGCAGACGAACATGTTAGCACTTGGTCGTCGGATCACTAAGCATGATGATGGCGCGACCATTGGGTATGTTGAAGTGGACGCCAGCAATGTAGTCGTTGCGTTTGAATTGATCGATTGTGAATTGGCACTATTGCAGGTAGCTGACATTGATGAAGATGGATTTGATCCCAACGATGACGTCGAATTTGATACGATTGTTGTGGTTACAACGGTGGTGGTGGTAGCTGAGGCAGCAGCAACAGCCACCTGTTCACTTAAATTGCATTGATTTTCTTCTGGACTGGTGGTTGCATTGACAACGGCCAATTGACGTGAACTACCATCCAACAGTCGGCGATGCAACCCACTTATGTTTCTAGCGTTTAGTGTTTTTTTTATTAGTTTGCAACAATTTTTGATTCGTTCACACATACAATATATGGACACAGAATATGAAAACACACGGAAAAAAAGAAAATGTGAAAGAAAAAAATAGAGATGAGTTATTTAGTTTAAATTGGTATGAATGAATTAATATAGTTAAAAAAAATGGATGTGCTGGTGAATGTCAATGAGAGTGAATATGCGATTTAGTGTCTGTATGCAATTCACGCGGTTATTTGTTTCGGAATGAGTCCGAAATACCGTTGGGACACGATGAAATACATTTTTTTTTTTCGAAGTATAAATTGTCGATTTCAATAATAAATTGAACAAATCAAAATTTAGCGTTAATATTTGTTATTTATCATCTTTTGAAACATTGACTCGACCAAAGAAAAATTTCTAAAGCAAATAAAAACCCAAAACAAAGGAATTTTAAAACAAAAGTATCAAACGTCAATCGAACAAAATCAAATCAAAACAAAAAAAAAGAAAACGAAAACCAAAAAACAGTTTAGAAATTGAATAAAGTTCAGTAAAAGGTATTCGGTTTTTGCATGGCATCATGTTTTGTCACTGGTATCGAATGGTTTTTTTGTTGTGTTTGTTTGCTGTTGTTGTACATTGTTTTGAGCGAGTTTAGTGTTTCGTTTCTCGTGTGGAAAAAAGGAAATGCAAACCGTTTTTGAATGGATTTCAAAATGTCATGTGTTTTGTGTATGGTTGTTGTTGTTGTAGTTTTTTCAATCGTTGTTCCAAGATGAGATACAGAGTGAGAGAGATAGAGAGAAATGGGGATAGAAAGAGAAGGAGGAAATACTGAATGACTACGAGCTAACGTTTCAATCCGTACCTAGTAACATCAAATTTTCCATCACTGGGCAGACTGTGTACAGACGATCGATTCTTTTGTTGTTTGTCCGACGTTGCATTGTTCATTGCATGCGACTGCTTATTGTCAACTGGCAGTGGCATTTTAAAGCAGCCATCTGATTGTCGTAGGCCCGTTGCCGTAGTAGACACTGGACGATCATGTTTTTTATTGTAGCTACGTCGAAAGCCACGTTCAAATGAACTTTTCAACAAATTACTTTCGTGCATAAAGCGCACATGCTCATCGGGCTGATGGCGTAAAAAGTTTTCCTGTTCATCGGAACTGCCGCTATCACTATTAAAATCATTTCGAATGTCTTCTTCTTCGAAACTATGCAAACTGGCCGGATGTCGGCGTGGTATCATTGGCGTTAAAAATGGATCATATGTGATGCGTTCATTCACCAACAACGAATCCGATATCGTGCCCATCGATTTGATCTTACTCAAATGGTATTGTTTCGATTCAGGTGTATCATTCTCCGTACCAATATACTTGGTATCACCGATCCCAAACCGTTTTCGATACATTCGTCGTGCGAATAGACCATTCGTATCACTGCCGTTGCTTTTCTCATTGGCATTGTTGTTGTTGTTCTTCAACAAGTTGTTTAACGAATTTCGTTGCGCTAATAGTGCAACTCGTCGGTTTTCAAATTCTTCTTTGAGTTTTAGTAATGACTTTGGTGTTGAGCCGAAATCACGTTCATACTGTGACAAATTGCCAAGGGAATTCATACGAAAGATACAGCTATTTTGTCCGTCATGCCCAGCAAATGTTTTCTCATGCTGTTCTACTCGATCTTCAGCCGAATTTCGATGGTTATTATTATTCGCAATGCTACTCATACTCTGAATCTTATCGATTCGGTAACCGTTCTTTGAACGTGGCGGCGGTTTTACATGCTCAAATATTACATTATTCTCTTTTTTGTCATCATCAATCGATACGGACGTGTTTGGTGTTAAATAAATTTCACCGTCTGACTCAGGGCTTGTTGGCATTTTTAATTTTAACGACGTTTTCGGATACAGACGATTCGCTATTGGTGTCGATTTCGCAAAAACCGGATGACACCTTTGGAAATATACAGGGTTTGTTTTTTTTATATAAATTTTTTTTGCCGAATTTTTAAAGTAAAGTAGTTTAAAATTAGAAAATAAATATCGCAAAAAAGAAGAAGAAGAATTAAATATGAAATAAACAGTTTAAATCAATCAAACAAAACAAAACGAATAAAACGCACAAAAGATAGCAAGTCAAGGTTTCGTATAGGGCATGCTCAAATGCATTTCGGTTTGTTTAAGTGGATGGAGCGGCGGCTGAATGGTATTTGAAAAGAGCGTTCAGAATGGATTAAGCTGGTTATTTTATTTATTTATGGTCGATAATATGATTAGATTTAGATATTCTGTACAATGTGTTCAGGAAGAGGATTCACTTTGTATTCGCACACCATCGCCTGTTAAAAATCACCACCTTTGAAAGGGAGTTGTTGAGTTAGGCGTGGGTCTTGAATGTCATTGATGTCTTAGCGATGTCACGATCTTCAGCTTAGCGCTGGCGAAGTCTATCTGTACAGCCGGCAAACAACCGAACCAACATTGAGCATAAAAAATATGATCATATTTCGTTTCGACTGTGCCGCCAGCAGAGGTCACATCGTCTCTGAATTGTATGTTTATATATTAAAGCAATGACATTTGAGATCCACGGAGTTAGTATATTGAATTCCAAAAACCGTCCCAAAATATGAAAAGAAAATCCTCGTCAAAAGTGGACTTTGGAAGAAGAAACTCGATCAGTTTCGAAAGAGTTTAAAATTGTTATTATCTGTGTCGTGATAAAAATTCATGTAATTCATGTTTATAGGCATCGAATGCGCATTTACAGTTAGCTCATTAACATTCTCACACATACAGACAGAATTAGTATATATATTTACAAAGGTGTTCAAATGTTTGTTCATTTTGTTTTAAATTGGTGCATTGGTGTGCACGATTTACATCGATTGTTGTAGTTGTTGTATTATAACTGTGATGCTGGGCAACAAGCATTTTATTCAATTTTTAATTCCTTCTATTGGTTTGGGCTGAAAAAAAGCTAGCATTCTATTGAAATATTTACCTCGTATGACCTGAATCACCTTCGGAACTTTGCCTCGAGTGTTGACTTTGCGAAAAACTACTATAACCAGATCCTTTAGACATCTAAACCGCCGACGGAGAAAAAAAAACAATCAGTAATTTAAATGAGATTTTAAGCGGAAATGAAGTGAAAATTGCTTATGGAACCGCAGCACTCACTTGACTAGTATTACTCGAATTGCGTGAGTGACCTTGCTCGACACCACTGCTGCCCGTATTTGCGGTCGACAATTGTTGCGTTTGAACGCCACTGCCAGAGAGTTGCTGTAGCGATAAATGATTGTTTGTAGATGTTATCGAATCGGACAGCAGTGTGTTCAGCGGTTCGGATGATTCCGACATGCCTGAGTCGGTGACATTGGAAGATACCATCGATGACATACCGTCTAATTGGAATAAATAAAACCATTTAAAATAATGGAGATTCATTGTAATTGAACCGCAATGTTACCATCGTTCTTTTTCTTTGGTAGCGATCCAAAACCAGACGAACCCGACGTTATTGACGAATCATCTCGTACACTACCCACCAGGCCGGGCAGTGTATTTACACTGGCTGTTGACGGTATGCAGCCCGTTGTCCGTGGTATCGTTGTGCCAGGTAATTGGGAATTTTCAACACCAACTATTATATCACTACCTAAATCGTCCCGCGAAGTTATTTTTTTATTGTTTAAACCTGACGTTGGACTGGATGAGAAAACAGGAGGAAAAATTTAGTAATTGTGTTAAGATCAATAAAAATTGATTAAATTTACAACACTTCAAAATATATGATGAAATGTTACAGAAATCGATGCACAAATGGAATACATACACTTTAAAAAGAATATCACCACTGAGCATATGCATTTTAATAGTAACGCACAGCATTGAATTGTCTTGTCGATGTCGGGTGTCGTATCCCTCGAGTAAGCATCGCCGTGATATCAGACCGGAGCCAGCAAATTCGGCCAAATTTAAATCGATAAAGCCTAATTTTTGATAGCTACGGCCACCCTTAATCTCCTTCCGCACCGATATTCGCACTGTGCACGGATCCAATATCCCTGTCGACGCATTGGCCGACATTTTGCACACAATTTCGAACTTTTGATTCCATTTGACTGTATGATTTTTTACCTCCTCACTGTAAAGTAAACGAAACAGAAACAAAAATTAATCAATATTCCATTCGACGATGAATAAAATTAGAATTGGATTTGTGATTTTGCTGTCGATTTTTTATCGAATTTGTTCCGGTTTTGTAGGTTCTTGGAATTTTTGTCAGACACAAAACATGTTCAAAAGCGACAGTTGCTATAAAATGCTTAAACTTGTATGTAAATTGTAGGAGGCGCCAGTAAAACTGATTGTCCATACCAACCATTGACAACATCTAGCGCCTATTCTTGGAGCGTATCGGCGTTAGTGTTTTTTACGACTTTTCTGTTGTGATTTCAACATAAAGTTTATTGCGAGAGGTCAACGATGAACTATTGATGACATGACTGAAGATTTCCATTATTCAGAAGGAAAAAAAACACAACGCAGTAGAACACTGCTGCTAAATTATTCATTAATGGTTGTGTATATGGAGTTTTTATTGCTTGGAACATATGATGTGTCACGGCCTACAAATTTCACTGAACCGGCAACAAGACAAAACGATCGAACTAAAAGACGAAGATTGGAATTGGATGAAGAAAGAAGACGTGCCACCGAAAATTATCATCGTACCAAACGTCGTCATAACAATCCAAATGCCAGTGGTCTAATACCAAAACCGGTAATTAATTGAAAAAAGGACACTTTACAATTATTCATTTTATTTTTCTTATTTTCCACTCCATTTAACACAAGACCACATTGGCTGATTGCTATCCTGGTAACTTTGATAGTTTCACCGAAGACTACCATAGTGATAGTAGTACATCAGTATCATCATCGGAGAGCGACCACAGTGACAACTATAGCGACTACAACGACGAGTGCGAGTGAAGAGAGATGATGATGGAAGACAGCAACAAATATTAATTTAGATTAGTTTTAAGAGAAAAATACAAATGATAATACCAATATAGAACTTAGTTCTACGTCGTGCCAGTTGCTGCTGAAAAGCCGTAATTGGCTATTCTTACAGCATATGACGCAAACAATTTGGCGAATCCGTTCGAAAGAACTGGAGTGCTTTGAATCTACATATAGTATATGAACAGTATATCGACCAGTGACGCCAGTTTTTAAATTTAGTCTCGATTTGTTTCAGTGGTTAGTTGAAGTGTTTAGCGTGAATTTCCCCTTTCTTTTATCGTCACAAGATTTTTATTTTCGATGTTCATTAGGTTAATTTTTTCATTCATTGTGTATATCATATTTCTTATGATGATGTGCACGCACGTACACCCACAAATAGCCTATTGTTTGATTTCGTGTATAAAAATACTTTTGACTTTTCGATAATTCAACACTTTTTTTGACTATCCCAATATAACTCAAACAATGCCTATGTATACATAACTGTCGTTCTCGAGTCATACAAATCATTCGCTCTGTTATACCACACGATGTACTATTTACACGCGTCGCCATGCTTGTTGGTCGGTTTTAAACGATACATCGCACCATATCAGATGTTGTCAATCATAGCAAAACATGATTTATACGCGTTGTTCTTCGATTGCTCGAACAATTTTAATTCATCCGCTTACACGAGCACGAACAAAGAGCATAAAATGTTTTGTGTTTGATAGAAGGAGAAAAAGTCGTTCCTTTTGTAGGTCGTAAAAGAAATCAGATTCTTCAGATGCAGGAAATGATATATACACATCTTAAGTGCTTAGTTGGTTTCATTCGTTTTGACATGATAATTTAGTGTGCACTCTATTCACAAAGCGAGTCCGTATTGATTTAAATCAAACGACGAAACGTGAGTTCAGTGACGTTTCTGAATGCAAACCAAACAGAACGCAGTTTCACACACAAGAACACACGTCAGCGTCTATTATAAAAACCGATCACTTGTAAAACGGTTCGTAAAATGTTCATGACGTTTTTTTTTTCGTCTGTACTAAATACACACAGAAATTTGGATCATTTTTATTATATAAACAGAAAAAATCCCATATGAAAGAGGAAAAAAAAAGCAGAAAATAAACATGAGATTATATGGACAAGCAACAATTACATGCACTTAATGCGTAATGAAATGATTGCCTGTTGCTAGTTTAGATTTTATAGTGTCGATGTGGCTATTTCACCATTCAAGTGCTCGAACAAATAAAAAATCATAACAACAAAAACAACAACAAAAAACAACCAAGTGAGCTGCATGTTAGGGCATATAAGTCAAAACGAGCCGCCAATTTATATATACGTCTTTACGTAATGTTGCAAAGTGCATTTCAGTCTACTTTACGGTTCGTCAAAGAGTGAGCAAAAAAAAGACGACAGAGAGAGAGAGAGAGAGAGAGAGAGAGAGACAGAGAGAGAGAGAGAGAGAGAGAGAGAGAGAGAGAGAGAGAGAGAGAGAGGATAGTGGGAATACTTTGAACACACTTTGATTTAGATTGCAATAATAATCAGAATGAACAAAATCAAAAGTTCGCATGAAATGTGAAAGCAACAATCGTCATGAGCAGTCAATGAATCATCTGTTCTGAATTATATGACAATGTAAGCAGCAAATAATTTTTCGACGATTTTTTTTCCAGTACTATTCGCTCGGTCGTAATTTTTTACAGCATTGTTCGGCTCGATTTTTGCTTTTTCTAGTTATAATTAAAACAACAACAACGGCAACCGTCGCAGCCGCTACGAAACAGATGATGAAAAACAGACAACAGCGGCGGCATGTCAAATATGTCATGTTATTAATTGAATATTTCGTTCGATGAAATGTTATTGCTGTGTCGACTCCATTAAGCCGTGGCTCTATAATGAAATTCACTCAAGCAAATTAAATATGCGATTCAATTGATTCGAATGAAAAACTTTCGACGAAGAGACGATCGATGCTTCGACATCACTTAGCTATCGTCCGCCTCAATCAATTAAAATAACAAAACAATTTTGCGCTTTTTTCTTTGCACCGAATTCGGTTGGACTATATGGTTGATTTAATGTGAACGGGATCATTATCTCTCTCTGTTCATTGTATTCTTATTTATGTTTTTGTATTTAAAGAAATCGGTCAATGCTAGCTAGTGTAGCGTTTGTTTGATCGGCATCGAAGGTCGCTTCTTCAAACAGAAACAAACAAGAAACTGATAAAAATGTAGATGGACTGAAATTTTGTTTTTCCTAACGGTATACTGTTTTTTACTCTCTTTTTCTCTTCGATGATGTTGCTGTTCTTTCAAACGAGGAAAAAAACGATGAAAAGTCGCTCAATTCGTTGGAGTTAGTCATTTTCTGGATCACTTCCATGGGAAGTTGTTATTAAAATATTTATATTGAAAAATTGGATTCAGGCCGATCGAAAATAATGATATCGGAACTTTTCTCTCTAATTGAAAACACAACAGTTTTTTTTTATTAATAAGAGAATTTAAAAACACAAACAACTCATAACATACATTGTATTGCTCGACTTGAATGTCTTTCAAGTTCGTTGAAAAGACAAAGTTTTTTATTTTGATATGGGAACAACATATTTGTAATTTCATCATGAAACAAAAACAAAAGATATATGGATACACACACACAAGACTTTCAATTTCACGACGATATATGCGCATTTTATACGATCCACACGCTCTTTTGTAATTGCCTTTGCACAAAAGTTTGATGCCATCGCTTGTTCAGCCAGCTGTACAATTCAGCTGCTCGGTGCACACACGTTGTTCAGATGCATGCGCACGCTCTTTTGCAGAGTTCGCCTGTTCGCGATTGGAATGTAATGCTTCTGATACATGATATGTTAGCTTCAGAGAGTTGAATTTTTAGAGAGAAATAAGAAGAAGAAAAAAACGCATCATCAAATACTTTTCATTTTTCTCTCCATTTCACCGTGAGTCAATTGAGACGATTTTCGCGAAAAAAATTCAATGAAAACGCTTGCAATTCACAATGAAAGCAAGAGTACGGCGAAGAGAAAATGCTTTGTGTGTGAATGCATTCAATGCGAATTGTTCAATTGATGCTGCTGTCGATGTCGATGTCGTCGTCGTTGCTGTTGAAAGCGCAATTCCAATAAATTGAGTATTTTCATTGAGTGCGCAAGGTGCTATGATGAAATGTATCTATAGCTGTGTACCTGCTAAGTTTTTTTTTTTGCGAATGCGACACACAAGTCACATTCACTTTAACGTGCAGTTGGCTAGAAAAGGTTATTCCGTTGACAAACACCTTTGGCTGTTGTTGCTCAAATGTCCGGATTGACAAAAACCGGCGAGGAAACGAATGTGTTTTTATCGCTTTTTGCCATTTTTGAACTCATGCCACGACAGTATTAAATACCATAAATATTTTTTGTGATAAAATTGCAATAAAGTTTGTCGTATCATGGCTGCTTTCGCGCAAATGAAATTTCATAGAATTGATTTTCCGCTAGTGTGTATTCAACTAAAACCTTTCCAATGAAACACAACGATCCGTTTGTTCCGTATATCATCATTTCGTCGAATCAAACGAATTCCAAAGCAGATAAAACCGATTTGTTCCTCAATTCGCGCAATTGTTTTCATACGTCAGCGTGTTTATGAGCGCCAATCTAAAATGAAATTAATGAATAGCGATCATCTGCCGTCATTTACGGTTGAATTTTATAATAATCATTTGCCTGGAGTATCACACAATCGGTGAACATCCAATGATAACGGGTTACATTTTTTTCTCTCCTTTGGAAATGATTTCTAAACCAATTCTGACTCTATGCAAGTCGGAAAATCTAACCGACGCGCTGTTGAATAACAGCTATGATTCAGAAAAATCTGGAAACATGGCAAATGAAAGCGTTCGTCGAAATCAAAGTTCAAATAGTAAATCGTTCAAACATTATCAACATGTATTATTGACCCAAAACAAAACAAAATTGATAAAATAGTGATTAATCAGCAATAAATAATGAAAACAATTCGTGCAGAAAGAAAAAAAAAGCCACACGTACACATTATCAGAAATAAATATTTGTTGGTTTCGGTTAGATGGTTTGATATGACATTACGACATTTCAGTTTTGATCAAACTTTGTCGTCTCCGAAGTTGATTTGAGCGTTTCAAGTGACGACTAAATATGAATGTCATGGTATTAATCGCATTTTGTCGATTATAGCATGCAAAAATGGTCAACGATCTGTTAACATACGACAACTATAAACCGTACATTCACTTGGCGCATAACAGGTCTTGCATCATTTTTTTATAACGAAAAATCTTTTATTTCGCTGCTTTTTCTGAAGAAATCAAAATTCAAGATAATTAACAGATTATTTTGATTTCAATTTATGAGTAAGAATTTCACAAATTTAAGAAATAAGAATTATTTGAGGTTATTTCGAGTGGTGAGTCAGCATTTGATGAGGAAAAACATTGAATTCGGGTAGTACAGCTGTACTGAGCTGTGTGTTTATATCAGAATATGATTATAATCACACTAAAGTAAATAAAATCGAACGTTGCACTGCACACACAATGACTCAAACTCACGGGTTGCCAAGAATACAAACCCAAATTATTTACACCAAACACTATTTTCTCCCCTCTCTGTTGATACAATTGTGATTGAATCGGTACAGTTGGCGCATTGCCCATTTGAAATTGAAAAAAAAAATATTATGATTCTACTATTTGCATTTTTTTCGACTACGACAGAAGAAAGAGAAGCCAAATGTACCATAAATGCTTTTCATGGTATGGTATATCTAGAAAAAAAAATTTGTTGATGCGGAAATGTAAGTGAGACTACTAAATATTATTCAAGCCTTTCAGCATTTTGATATACAAACAAAGCAAACCACGAGCGCCCGCGAGATATGGATTTACGAGTGAATTGTATTTGAACAGCAGTTAAACATTCCGAATGACGCTACGTTGTGATATGTGTATGTCTCTTTT